TATCGCAAATATCGACCGTTGGATGAGATTGTAATCGAACGATATTTAAAGGGATAGGCAAAATAAAAGTAGGCAGAATAACTTATCCCTAATTTATAATTTGGGCTGAGAGTAAATATTTCATTTTTCTTTTCTTACCATTCTTTCCTCTTTCAGCCCTTCCCTTTTTCCATTCTAATTTCCAAACGTGCCCTAAAAGATTTAGGGGATGTATTGGATTGAGATTTTAAAGGATTATTTTTTGACAAAAAAATCCATTGATATTCAATTAGAATTTTAAAGGATTGAAAAAAATTCGCGTGATATTCGTTAAGGACTTTAAAAGATTATTTTAGAGTCCATCCAAATTCGTTGGTATTCAATTAAGATTTTAAATAACAATCTTGTGGTATTAAAAAATGTGACGATTTTAATGAATTTCCTATTAGTGTGAATTTCGTGAAACTTTTTAGTGAAAAATATAAATAGGATATCTCTCTTACCTCAGAAGCACGGACACGACATTTTGTTTGAAAAATGCGTGTCGGACACCGACATGTTCCGAGATGCGTGCAATACACGGTCAATATTTTCGGACACGTTGACTATCCCGACACACGATTTTGACCGTATCCGACACGGTCAAAGGACAGAAACGTAAATATTTTAATTTTTTTATAAAATTAAAATATTCTAAATTAAAATATAAGAGTAAATTGTAAGAAGAGGGAGAATGAAGAAGAACGCGAACAACAATTAAAAACTCGTCGGCCATGAAGAAATGCTCTTCGGATCGGTCTGGTGGTTCGTCTATGTCGGGATCTCACGTTTCATCATAACTTATCCCTAATTTATAATTTGGGCTGAGAGTAAATATTTCATTTTTCTTTTCTTACCATTCTTTCCTCTTTCAGCCCTTCCCTTTTTCCATTCTAATTTCCAAACGCGCCCTAAAAGATTTAGGGGATGTATTGGATTGAGATTTTAAAGGATTATTTTTTGACAAAAAAATCCATTGATATTCAATTAGAATTTTAAAGGATTGAAAAAAATTCGCGTGATATTCGTTAAGGACTTTAAAAGATTATTTTAGAGTCCATCCAAATTCGTTGGTATTCAATTAAGATTTTAAATAACAATCTTGTGGTATTAAAAAATGTGACGATTTTAATGAATTTCCTATTAGTGTGAATTTCGTGAAACTTTTTAGTGAAAAATATAAATAGGATATCTCTCTTACCTCAGAAGCACGGACACGACATTTTGTTTGAAAAATGCGTTTCGGACACCGACATGTTCCGAGATGCGTGCGATACACGGTCAATATTTTCGGACACGTTGACTATCCCGACACACGATTTTGACCGTATCCGACACGGTCAAAGGACAGAAACGTAAATATTTTAATTTTTTTATAAAATTAAAATATTCTAAATTAAAATATAAGAGTAAATTGTAAGAAGAGGGAGAATGAAGAAGAATGCGAACAACAATTAAAAACTCGTCGGCCATGAAGAAATGCTCTTCGGATCGGTCTGGTGGTTCGTCTATGTCGGGATCTCACGTTTCATCATCTTCTTCGCCGGAATCATGCTCGATCTGGGTTGGGTTGTAAAGAAGTGATAATGAAAAGGGAGAAAAAAAGAAAAGAAAAGAAGGGTTACTTTGGAGGTGAAGAAGAACGAGAAGGAAAATGATGCTTGTTGATGATGATGCTTTTATACATGACTGTTGATAATAAAAATTTGAGTTATATGGTTGTCTTCTTCTCAACCACTTATTTTTTAACCCTGGTTCTAATCCATGGTTAAGTTTTTGACCTCACTTGAGGTTAGATGTGAGATGTGACTAATAAATATCCCTTCTTGAACTCACCGCTTGTTCTACTGTGACTGTGCTACGAAGATCAGATTTTTTAAATGAAGATAATAATGACTTATAGACTATAGCATAGCAATTGTTGAGTTGTAGATTGTAAAAATTAATTATATAATTTTAAATAGAATAAGCATAATAATTTATAATATGGGATATTTATTATCACAACTTATCGCTACTCTTACAAAAATAATACCAGTTTCTTGTGACCCATCTGTTATATGTATTAAATATAAATTATATTATATATATTAAAAATATTATTTAATATCAAAACATGTCCTTAAAGGTATATCATCAGAAACGCGAAAGCGCAACGTACCGATGAGATGAATAATAAAGACACTGCTTTGATTACCTGGGGTGAAGTAGTGAGCGTGACAAATTCTCACATTCAGTTCTCCTTCTCAAGCCTCACGATCTGCAGCAACGCACCACGAACGGTCGCAAAATCCGCTCTACGGTTGATCTTTCAGGCTATGACTCAAGGGGATCGGGGGGTCGTGTGGGCAACCGTTCAGATGATGAACGTCTGCCTCTTTGGTGTGTTTCTGATGTTTGTAACCCTAGGAGGCACTAGAGAGAAAATAGAGTTTATATACTCTGCCCAAACCAAAACTAACCCTAAGCTTCTTGGGTTAAAATTAGACTTTGGGCTCACTCTCACTAAAGCTATTGGGATTAGGTGAAAAGAGCATACTAAACCCAACAGTCTTAACGTGTCAAAATTTAACATTTTTTAGAATTAATGTGTCGGAGTGTCGTGTTGTGTCGTATCCCGTGTCGGTGTCGGTGTATCATTGTCTCTCACAATCTCACCATAACCCTAGGATTTCTTGCAATTTCTCTATTGCAGTGTTTTCTTCTTCTTTTCACAGGTTAACCTGCTTGAAATCAGATTTTACCATGAGAGCTTTGTCAAAGCTCAAAAATAACATATTTTTGAGCTATTTTCATCACAAAACAATCAAAAAACAATAAACCAACAAGATTCTAATATAATCTATCTCAAAAACAACAAATTTTTTAGAGCTTTTGTAAGTTTAAAAAATAATTTTTCAAGCTATAGGTCGTAATTTTTCCTGACACAAAAAGTTATGATTTTTGTATTAAAAACAACATAAAACAATGGAAAACAATAAAGGAACTAAAACCCTCAAACCAATTTTCATTTTACATCAATGAAACAAGATTAATTTAACTAAAAATTGAAACTTTCATAATACAAACCCTATATTTCGTAACAATACATTCATGAACGAAATTGCTTCGCCATAAGAAACGATTTCAAACAATTTTTGTGTCAATAGATAACTAAAACTTGTTTTTCAAAAGCCCCAAAGCAATTTAAGGTTTCAATGTATCGATCGAAAATAATTTGAAAATTTTTCTAAACTTTCATGTAATAAAACACATAAATTCATATTCTAAATTTTCTTAGAATACTCAATGAAAACATGCATATGATATATGGTTAGAAAACTCTCATCACATAGAACAAAAATTTCAAAGTTTCCAAGATCAATTGTAAAAAATTCCAAACGAAATTTTATCATAAACTTTAAGTTCTATATGCAAATTTAGAATTATTTTAATAAAAAAATTGGATCTTATAATCATATATGCATAGCTCTGATATCAAATGAAGAAGATAATTTTTAACCCATTGACCAAACCCAAGAGAATGAACGAGAAAATGCTGATACATGGAGGACTAGTATAGCTTCAGATATGTAGAGAGTTTGTAATTTTGGATGTTTGTTAAAAGTTATATTATGTTTTACTAATTGAGAAAATTATATTATGTTTTACTTTTTTTTTTTTTGGTACATTGTCAGGAGGTATCCCCATTCAACCTTCTCCGGGCACCATGCCCTCGGGGTACGGCCTGTTTGGGCTAGCCCCTCATTGTAACAGTGGGTGCACTAAAATGGGCTAGCCCCTCATTGTAACAGTGAGTGCACTAAGCTTCGCAACCGGAGAAAGGACGAGACTAATCCCCCAACCAAAGATTTTTTGGCTTATCCTCTGACCCCCAAAGATTTTTCAAGAAACTGCTTGAGGCAGGGTTTGATCCCTGCACCAAGCAATCCCTTGGGAGCTCAGCTGCCAACTGAGCTACCCTTGGGTATCATTGCATTTCTTTGTTATTTTTTTTATTGACTCTTTAATTTTTAATGTTTGTTAAAATTCATATGATTTTTTAAACCATATTGTTCTTTCAAATTTTATAAATTCTATTAAAATCCAATCTTATAAAATCTTGATTGTAAAAAAAATATTTGAAAAAAGTCTTTAAAGTCCCTCAAATTCTAAATAATCTTTTAAAATCTATAAAATAAGCTATCTCAAAAAAAAAAAAATTAAAATCCTAATCCAATACACCCCTTATTTGTTTTCTACCATACAACGTATAACATTATTAGGCACCAAAACAATGACTTGGTGGATGATCAAAGAAGTCTCATGTATATTCTAATTCGGAGTAATTGAAGTTTTTTTTGCTCATTGCTACCATTATTTAAGCTAAAACTTAAAAAATAAAAGGGTCAACTATTAATTTAAAATTTGTTATCTATTAAGAATTCGTGAAATAAGATAATATGGAAATATATTTGCATAGATTTAAAAAATAAATAAAATGAAGATAAAGTTAGTTTCAAGAGTTAAAACTTATTCTCTGTTCCTTTCTTAATAGTCTTATTATTTCTTGGGTCATGCCCCATCATTAGCTCTTTTGTGTAAGTTAAATCTAGAAGAACACTTCACAAAAAAGAAAAAGAAAAAGAAAATACAACTAAGGCTTTGTTTAGAGTATCACAGAATGAAAAAGAAAAGAAGAGATGCAAAAAAAAAAAAAAAAAAAAAAAAAAAGGTAAGGGAGAGAGAAGTAGAGAAGTGATAACTAATGCTGCAGATTGTTGGATGGCCTACGGTTTCAGTTGCAAGTATATTTGTTATTGTGTCATAGTATTTTACAATGACACAGAATGAAAAAGAAAAGAAGACATGCAAAAAAAAAAAATAAAGGATAAGGGAGAGAGAAGTAGAGAAGTTATCACTTATCAAAATCCCTTACTAATGCTGAAGATTGTTGGATGGCCTACAGTTTCAGTTGCAAGTATATTTGTTATTGTGTCATAGTATCTTACTTTTAAGAACCATCTATCTAGGTGGAGCTGATCACAAGGGACTATAAAATATATATTAAAAGTTATATCCCATTGAACTACACCATCCTCCTCATTCGAGCTGCAATGTAACTGAAACTTGAGACAGACTACAAAATTAGACCTAAACTTCCATATCGTAATATCTATCAAGACTTGAGATAATCTGAAAAAGCAGTTTTATCGCCCTTAAAATATAATGAGACAATAAAAAGCTGCAGCAACCCCATGTGCATCTACATACATAGTTAAACAAATCACAGAGAAGTCAGTTATCTTGCTTGCTGTTTTGCCTCTCTTGGCACACAACTAGTACCAAGATTTCTCTAACGCAGTTAAGAACTTTTTTTTTTTATAACAGCAAAGGAGTTTACTCTTTTCAGATGCATAACAAGAAAGCTTTCCACCAAACCATTACCTCCCCTGCATGTCAAACGCAGAATACATCTCAACATAGCAAAATCATGCTGCACTTTCAACAATCAAGCTTGTCAGCATTGAATATTCAATAGAAAGGAGATACAAAATGCAAGAAGAAAAATAGAAATCGATGAAGATTTTTCTTTTGTTGAGGAGGATGAAGTTGAAGACATTGCTGTTGTATTACTTGCCACAGTTTTGTTATTGCTGCACAAACACGATGGAAGAAAACCAAAATGTCATATTTAGTCTTAATAGTAAGTGGTTATTACTTGTAAAATTTTAAGGTCATCCAAAATAAAAGGAACAAACAAAATATCACATCCTTCAATGAACTTACCCAGCTCTCATGTAGATGCACTTGTCATAGCCTGCAGAATTGAAAACAACTAGTTTTAGTGACAAAAAACAAATTCTACAGCAATACTTTGGTAAGAGAGACGAGAAGGCAAAGAGGTTGACAGAAAATTTAATGAAACAACTTTCGGAAACATTGACAAAACAATGAACAGCAGCAAGTTCGACAGACAATGATATCAAACAATTTCCATTGGCTGCATCTTCCACATAAATCACATCCCTCTACAAGTCATTCCTTCTACTAAAATGGTTTTCATTTTGACTAGCTTTCTTCAAATCATATCTTAGCATATCCATGCAATAGTTTCTGAGCAAAACAGCATATGACAAAAACAAAGAAAAAAGAAAAGCAGAATTGGTGATGGGTTGTAATGAACATACTTGGATCCTTATCAACTTTTACACCTGTGCCTCCAAAACTACAGGCGACATCAGAAGCCCCATTTTGCTGATAATAGCTATTAAAAGCGTAAGATGCATGTGAGACTAGGTTATCTGGCTCAAAACAAGGCTGGCTAGGCTGGATAGGCGTACAGTCCACATTGCCAGGACCACAAGCCCAATCTATGGCATTCTGTAGGTCAATTTGTGAGGCCTTACTCGAAGCAATGCACCATGTTGTTCCATTTGATCTGGTAACATTTGCCGGAGTTGTCATATCAATAGCACCTCTTCCAGTGAAATCTAGGTTATACACACTTGTCTGGTCTGGATAAAATAATCCCCAGTTCCTCTCAGATTCTAAACCTGGCTTCCTATTTTCATTGAACAATGAGAAGATGTAAACATCTAGCTCCTCTCCAGGTTTTGCAGGAGTACCAGTGTCATTGATAACATGCCTTATCAGATTAGTATTATATCTTTGTGCATTATCGGGAGTTGCAGCTGTCTCCTTAGGTGACCCTTTGGAAGGCCAACCTGTTTCAGTGACCATGACCTTTATTGTTCTGAAATTTAGGGCCATCAGTGCAAAATAAATAGCATCAATCTGGGCATCAAACATGCTCGTGTACAACAAACCAGTGTTTGGATCAATAACTTCAGAGGATGCCTCAAACAGTGCATAGTCTAAAGGAACTTTATTTGGGGAATCACGGTAAGCATAATAAGGATATATATCAATCATAAAAGGTGACTGATTTTCGGCAAGAAATTCTAACATTGGTTTCAGGAGATGTGCATGGCTACTATTGAAAGCCCCAGCAGAAGGTGGGAATGATCGGGACAGAACCCCAAGGGAAAGAGTGCTAGAAACTTTTATCTTTTTGTGCAGCCCAAGTTTCTTGAGTGCTGCAAGTACATTGTTCATGGCAGGTACTACAAATGAAGAGGCATTGTTAGAACTTTCTGTGACTTCAGCACCAACAGTTATGTATGTGATCTTTGTGGCTGGATAGTAAGGAAGGATGCTGTTTCTCAACCAAGTGTCCGCATTCGATTGGAACTGGGAGAATGACAGCAAATCTGAATTTGGAATCCCAATCATAAGTTCAACTCCAGTGTTTGCAAAGGCCTTCAGAACCTGTATATTAGAATCATAAATCCTGACATATTTGATTTTGTGAAGTTGAACCAACTGTGCCACCTTGTCAGGTGTGGGGAGGTCATCAGCACTTCTTCCATAGCAGACCCCAATAAAACTCCCAGAGCAACAATCTAACAAAGAATTTCATAAGATTAAATAAAAAAAATAAAAAATGACAGAGAGAACTGATTCATTGTGTCTTTGTGTGTGAAAAAAGAGAGTGAGAGACAGAAAAAATGCTAGCTCTGTTAGTTGTACCTGCAAGTCAAAAGAATCAATCACTAAAATTTTTTAATGCATACCACACAATGTGAGTTACGATTTCACATTAATCAAACTATCAGGTAATAACTTAAGTGATCTTTATATATGAGCTGTAACCGCAAGCCCACTTCAAGGGATTGAAGACTAGGGCTAGGAAGAACTCTAGTAAGATCATACAACTCTAATTTAGAACCTATTTCTAAAATTCAAAAGCATTTCATCATCAATTTGTTTAAATAACCTCTGAAATTAAAGAACCTCAGTTTGTTTAAATAATGGACCACCCTCTCAAGTACAATGCTTTATAAAGGTTCTTCCACCAACTACATGCATAAATGATAAATCTAGTTGCAGTAGTACAATTTAAATATCAAGCCACCAAACAGGGAATCTCTACTGAAGAGAGGATCATGGAAGTCTCAATTCTGTTTTTTTATGCAGATTTTAAAAAGAGGGGAAAATGAATAAATGAACGAATAAAAGAGAGTACCGACATTTTGAAGCTTAAAGAAAGAAAATGAAAATGGAGAGGTTTAGAGAGAGGAATGGTGAGTCCCAAAGCATAAGAGTAAGAGATGAGATGCACATGGCATATGGCATATGCAATGAAGAGGGTGGGGGGGAATAAGAAAGATTAAGGACGAACCCAGAAGCATGAGAAAAAGTGAAGCCGCAAAGATGAGGCTGAAGCTGAACCCAGTGGCCATTGCGTCACAAATTGAAAGTGAAGGCTAATACTAAACTTTGCAACGCTTTTATGTAACGTTCCAATGCTCAGAAGGTAACGGCTCTTGTCCCTCTCTCTCAGCAGCTTCTCTCTCTCTCTCTCTCTCTCTTGAGATTGGAGCTCGCGAGTGGCAACCTCAGTGCTGATTTGTCCGCAAATGTTTATTACATATATATAATGAGGGAGACAAAGCTTATTACTTAATTTAATTATCGGATTCACTTTTTAATTCATTAAAATATAATAGTTACTGCATATAAGTTCTAAATAAGTAAATTAATTATTATTATTATTAATTTTAAAAATGGGAAATTAATTATTATTATTATTGTTATTAGAATTTAATGTATTACGAGTGATAAAATTAATTCCAATAATTCCAATGCTGTTTTGGGTTTAGAAAAAATTCATGTCGTTATTTTGAGATTTAAAGAAAATGTAGGAATGTGAAATTCTCAAAATACTCCTTGAATTTTTAACTTGAAACTCCAAAATACATTATTATTATTATTATTATTATTATTATTATGAGAAAAATATTTATCCTTTTAAATCACACAACTTATATCTTTTCACTCTCACAAAGAGGTGGGACCCACACCTTTATTTTTTTGTCAATCATCTCTCCTCCTTTATCTATCTCTTTCTCTCTCTTAAAATGACAGAATTTTACATCATTTAAAATAACACACATTTTTTCCTATTATTATTTAGGAGAATATTATTCTCATGTTATATGAGAGTAATTCTCTCATGCTGCAGAGAAAATTCAAATAAAGTCTGCTATTATAAAGTAAAATAAAAAATAAAAAATATGGAGATATAATTTTTGAAGTGAAAAAATATTGAATAATTATCTCACGTAAAATAAATTATATTTTCCGAGGCAAAGTAAGTGATTGCTACGAAATCCAGCACAAAACAACAGAGATGCCGTTTGATGACCGAGGGTGTCAGCGTAGAAACATCGGACCTCAGTTTTATTTCTCAATTCCAGTTTATACATCTACGTCGATTCCGCAATTTCGCATGTTTGTTCTTTTTCTCGCTTCACCCGCTGTGGCTCAAGGCATGGGAATATTAATTTGTTAATAAAATATGATATTTTTGTTTTTTTAGAGGTTTATAAATATTAAAACACCACATTGTTCTCCTGACCCGTCGATCTCTTTGCCACGTACTTTTTTTTTTTAACAATATGTGGGACCCACATGGTGTTTTGTTTCTATTGCACAAGATGATAAATTTACTGTAATATGATGGATGCATTTTACTTTTTTTTTATTAGTCCAAGTTTTAAAAAGAATGAATTTGTTGATAAATTAAATTATTAGCAAGTTAATAATTTTAGTATAGTAAATTATTATCAAATGAATAATTTTAAAAACAGATTTATATCAATAAGAGTTTTCAAAAATTAAAGTAATAATTTTATGCACCATTTTTAAAAAATATCTATTAAAAATTATTTATTAAAATATTAATTGTTAATGTTTTAATAAATTTATTTAAAAAAATTATTTATTTTTAATATTTATTAAAAATATTACTTACAAAATATCCAAAAAAATCGAAACCAAACATGCACTTAAATTTTGTAAACTTCGTGTTGGAGAAATCATCTATTTTAAAGTCAGGATATACGTAAATTTTAATAAAATTTTACCAATAACTTATTAAGAATAAATATTTTTATTATTAACGATGTATAATTAGATCATTAAAGTATTTCATCATGTGTAATGTTTATACTGTTATGCATTACAGTGGTAGCTTTATTGAAGTTGGTGGGTGTATTTTGTTTTTTCGAAGTAAACCTGAAGTAGGTGTGCTTAACAGTAGTTGCTAGAAACATCTCAACAATTTCCTACAATAATTGAGGATTTATAAACCATGGAATGGGATCTAACAGGATGATGATGGTTAAGTCAAAAATCAAATATAAGCCATCAATACTGATGGATTTGGATCCTCTCATGTGAAAATTTACATGATTATGTTACGTGAGAAATTATAACCATACAAAGGTGAATCAATAGTAACAAAGGAAGAGAAAAAAAAATGTTAAAATAAATAGTTACGAAATTATAACCGTTGATTTATCTTTGTATAGTTGTGATCTTCTCATATGATCATATCATGTTTTTTTTCTACATGAGATGATCAATTTTCCCTTAGTGATAGTGAAGTCAAAAATCAAAACCTTTCTCCGTGGCCCACGGCTCTATTGTCGTTGTTACGTTTAGCCATATTGATCACTAAATTCTGCGTCAGTCAAATTTACAACTCCAATTTTCTAATCCATATGCTGTGGTATCCACTTCAATATCAAAGAAAATAAACAATTCTCGATTAACATGATATCATTTTCTTTGAGTTATCTAGAAACACTGACCAAAATGTCACTCTTTACCAACTTTTTTACTTAAATGTCACGTGAACAGTGTTATTTCTCAATCTACCACAGGGGCAAGTTCGCTACCCAGAGTAGCGAACTCGGTTTGCTGACGTGTCACATTTCTAGTGGATAACAAGTATCAAGTAAAGAAAAAAAGAAATGTGAAGGTCGCTACATTGGGTAGCGAACTTGGTTAAAACCAAGTTCGTTATCCCGTGTAGCGAACTTTGTGTCCACTAGAAACGTGACAAGTCAGCAAACCGAGTTCGCTACACCGGGTAGCGAACTTGCCCCCGTGGCAGATTGGAAAATAACACTGTTCGCGTGACATTTAGGTAAAAAAGTTGGTGAACAGTAACATTTTAGTCACTGTTCCAGTTACCTAAGGGTTTTGAAAATGTGTGGATATTTTTCTATAAGGAGGTATTTCGTAGAGGGATATTTTTTAAATTCTTAGGAAATTGATATTAAGAACTCTATTTATTTATGTTTAATATAAGGATTGTGAATTTTATTTTTCAAGAAATTGATTTTCCCATTATTCCAAATTGTGAATTTTTGTAAAGCAAAATTTTATTCAAAAATATCACTAGAAGGGTGATATTTTTGGATTCAAAAAGTGTTTGTGTAGCCATTTTCCACTTTTGGGGCTGCTTCACTCAGCTATCAGTATTCAGTGCTCAAAGACACTTTAATCCAGCCTATAAGTAGTTTTTTCTGTAGCCTCAACTCTCAATGAAAGCACCAATTGTTACGGACTTGAGGGGTGGAAGTGCTCAAGGCCTTATAAACTCTACAGTAGCTTCCTATACAATCAATGTGGGACTCGTAACAGGTGTTGATAGCCTCAAGCTATGGATTCTCAAACAAACAAGGAAATCAAGAAAATTAAATGTCAAATACAATTCAGCAATTCGAGTTTGCTGATTACTCCAGAAAAATAAGAGATGAGGAAGAAGACAAAGTTTGTTACAGATTTAGCTAAACCCTCTAACAGTCCCCTCTCACCTATTATACGCAATAGAATTAACAAGGAATGGGCTAAAGACAAAATGGCCCAATTACACATTCAATTACTAAATTTCCCACACTCAGCCCAACAACTACATGTTGAGCGGTTCCCTAATCCACTGCTTGACACCTATCAGCCACGTGTGCCCATGATGTAGTCCTTGGTCCACTTTGCTTGTAATTTGACTCGGTCTCCCCTCCTCAACGGTAAGTTCTCTCTCCTTGCTGGTTCCTTTGTATCTTCTCTACCCTGTACATCCATCTCACCTCTGTCTTCTATGTTCATCTCATCTCCTCTGGTTGGAGAGTTCGTATCAATTCCCTCCGCCCTTAAAGAGTCGATCTTGTCCTCAAGATTGAATTGGGGAAAAGCTTGGCAGAAATCCGACGCTGACATCCACGAAGCGTCCTCCAATAGCAGGCCGCGCCACTGAACCAGGACCTGCAAGTCCGTTCCTTTTTTGCTGGAAATGGTGCAAGAACGCACAATAGCCAATGGATCTGTCACCGGGGGGTTCTCCCATGTTTCCTGGGGAAGTGGCTGAGGGTGAAACGTCAGATTTTGACGGAAGGCTTTGAGCAACGAAACATGAAATACATGGTGAATTTTTGACCCTTCAGGAAGTAATAGCCGGTAAGCAACGGGTCCCAGGCGTTTTGTTATCAGGAAATGGCCATAGTTGCGGTGACGGAGCTTACAAAAGGTTTGGTTTCAGACTGATTTTTGGCGATAGGGTTGGAGCTTGACCAACACACGATCACCAACTGCATACTGGACATCACGGCGGTGCTTATCCGCTTGGTTCTTCATACGCTGACGAGTTCTATGCAGATTCTCCCTAAGAGTACGGATGATAGCATCCCTCTGTGTAAGAAGAGTCTCTAATGCTTCAATCGGTGATGTTTCTCCTTCGTACGGTTGCAAGGCAGGGGGTAAACGACCATAGAGAATCTGGAATGGTGTAGAGCCAATGGAAGAATGATAAGAGGAGTTATAAGAAAACTCTGCCCATGGTAAGTACTGGACCCAACTTCTTGGATTTTCCATTGCATAACATCTCAGATATTGCTCTAATCCCCGATTAGTAACTTCAGTTTGGCCATCACTCTCAGGGTGGTTCGCGGTGCTGAAATGAAGACGGGTTCCGCTCAACCTAGATAGCTCATGCCAGAACTTGCTGACAAAAATTCGGTCTCTATCGAAGACTATTGAACGTGGGATCCCATGGTGTCTACAAATCTCGGAGGCGAAAATAGAGGCTACTTTAGAAGCGGTAAAATTACTGACTAATGCTGAAAAATGGGCGTACTTAGACAACCTATCCACCACCACTATGATGGCTGTCTTGCCTTCTGATTGGGGAAGTCCCACAATGAAGTCCATCGATAAATCGTCCTATACAACATGTGGAATGGCTAGCGGTTGAAGAAGACCAGCAGGGGATAAGGGTTGATATTTAGTCACCTGACACACTGGACAGGTTCGGACGAACTCTTGAACATCATGCTTCATGTTGACCCAATAATAATGTGTGGATATTCGATGCAGGGTTTTGCGGACACCTCCATGCCCTCCAATCACCGCGGAATGAAACTCATGTAGGAGGGTTGATTTCAGATCAGAAGTGCTGGCCAATACAATTCTGCCTCTGTAAAAAATTAGCCCTTCCTTTAAGGTGTAGTGTCCGTACCCTTTTCTTCGTTCCTCAATTTCCTTGCT